TCGTACTTGATTGATGTCCGTGCTGCATCTGCAAAATTGAAGGCGCGATGGCACGAGGCGTAAACTCGCAATAATCCGCTCCGTGCTGCCGATGAGCTGGCGCTCAGATTGGGGGGAAAACTTAAAAAACGAGACCCGATTATGTTTCTCCTCTCTTCGGCTGTGTTGCTCACGTAGCCCTTGAAGCACCACTATAAATAAGACCTAAGAGCCCAGCACAACTTGGAAATAGAGCAAGGGAAAAGGCGTGCGTTGATGACGGCTCAGAGATACAACTATTCGTACTTGATTGATGTCCGTGCTGTATCCGCAAAATTGAAGGCGCCATGACGCGAGGCTTTCACTCGCAATGATTTGGCTTGTGCTGCCGATGAGGTGTCGCTTAGATTCGGTAGAAAACTCAAAATACGAGGCCCGATAACGTCTCTTTGATCATCTACGGCTGAGTTTACACACAATTTTCCCCTTGTTTTTTTATTAGTTGTCTTATTCTTTATATAGAATTTACCTATGTTTGTAGACCTATATCTAAAGCTCGAATGTACCGGTATCGTAACTCCTCAAGAAGAGATTGTCGGAATGTCGTAAGTTGTTGAAAATGATTCCCTGACCCTCGATTTTTTCCTTTTTTTTCCAATTTTATGGCCGTCTCTGTGTTCAAGATGTATTTTTAAAACCTATATCTGAAGGCCGTATGTACCAGCTCCATGCAACCCGCGGAGCACATGTTTTTTATCAAGACTCGCGGGTTAATTTGACCTGCCTCGGACATCTAAAGGTCAAAGTTCCTTCAATTTTTCTGCATAGATTATTGTGCGGCTACAGGTGTAGACCTCATCCCATTTTGGATGTTCTCAGGCAATTACAGCTCGATCGATGCATTTTTTGGCATTTAAATTTTTTGTTTTCTTCCTTAATTTCTAGATAAATTCATCACTAAACAGAAAGTTATTCTCTTGATCAGTAACTTTTCTAATGCTACATTTCTATTCAAGAATATTTATGTCACATTTGACGAGCATACTTATATGTTTGAAGTGCCTCAATCGCCTTTCTAATCTCATCTCAATCAACATTCGTCTCTCTTGAAGTTTCATTTTAAATCTCATGTTTCACCGCTCAAATCAGCAAAATTACAATCTGAAAAGTTTCGTGCTCTATAAATCACGAATTTTAAAATTTCAGATCGGGAGTTCTCATTTCATCAGTATTTTTTGTCCTGGGTAAATTCATTCTGCAGAACTATTGTTGGTTTGCTCAAGTTTAATGAGTTTCAAGCACAATAAATTCTATTTTAGAACCATTGAAGTCATTAATCTAAATTCGATTAAATTCGCCTATTCAATCGTAAAAATGCGGAAAGAATCTTTGTTTGCCGATGGAAACGGGAGCGCTTATGATTGTTCCGCTATGATTTCCCATTCCTTTTATGAGGAACAAAGTGATAGGAAATACTGAATTTGCTGAAAATGCCATTTTTGAGAGATTTCATAAAAAAAAAAAAAAAAAAAAATTGTATCGTGGGTCTTTCCCCGTGGGCCTCTCTTTACACCGGAAAAACGTCTTTTGGATCCAGAGTCCAGATTCTTAAGGAAATTGACAAGAAAAAATACTCTTGTTTCAATTGGATTTTGGATTTTTGGATTTTTTTTTTTTTTTTTTTTTTAGGAAATCCGCTCAAATTAGGAGGCTTGGCTCTCGCTTCAAGCAAAAATCCGATTGAATGAAGAGTATTTTTTCTCGTCAAATTTGTCAAGAGTCTGAACACTTGATCCAAGAGACCTTTTTTCAGTGTAGCTGTAGTTTACTCATTTTTATGGCGGGGCGCCTACATTAAAGTCGTCACGAGTAAAAACATTCATAAACCGGGACGGCACAGCGTATCATGAACCCTGCTCGTGTAAGTAACCACCATTAACCTTGCGTTCCGTGTATTTTCCGGCGTGTTTCCTTGTAGTCCCGAGCGACTGTTTTCTGCGCTCCATCAATTTGCTTGAGTTCCCCTCTAATCGACAACTGTTCAATTGATCATTCCCAAACAAATCTCGTGATATATTGCTTCTCTTTTTCGTGGCTCCGGGCACAGTAGGCCATGGCTTTAATTATTGTTGGTTTTTCGATCGCTTCCCCGTGAATTTCGCCTCTCAGGATCACAATATTAAACAAACAGTCTGCTATTTGCACGATCAAATCACGCAGGGAATGTCAAAAACCTAAGGGCAGCCAACTATAGCAATCAAACTTTGAGGTATCAGTGAGCATGGCACGCCACATGGTTCAGTCGAAATCCCTTCCTAAATTTGCAACAAACAAAACATGCCAATCCGAACAAATTAGTGCAGCTGCATTAGTGAATGATCATGCTTATTGCGTCAGTTTTTCACAAAACACTGGAAAAAAAACACATTGGATCTAGAGTCCAGGCTCTTGAAAACATTGACAAGAAAAAATACTCTTGATTCCATCGGATTTTTGCTTGAATCGAAACGAAATCCGCTTGAATTAAGAGGCTTGGTTCTTGATTTAAGCTAGATTCTGATTGAATCAAGAGTACTTTTTCTTGTCGGTGTTTTTAAGAGTCTGGACTCTAGATCCAATGTGTTTTTTTTCCAGTGAACTGACCAACTCTTCTAAAGTGAGCCGTTGGTAGGGCAGGGATATGCTCTTACACGGAAAAAATTAAATTGCTGATTTAACAATTAAATTGCTACAAAAAAAGTGACCGCAATGTTTCAATGTAGATTTCACAACTTAAAAACGCTACTTTAACTACTATCGTAAGCTAATTTAACCACGGGCACGGGGGTGGATAAAGTACCATTTTTGTGTTGTGAAATCTACGTTGAAATATTGCAGTCACTTTTTATAGCAATTGAATTGTTAAATCAGCAAGTTAATTGTTTCCGTGTAAGCAGTCCCCGTTCGCTAATTTCAGAAGCTGGATAGCACGAAAGAAAAGCTGGTCCTTGTGGAATATTTCAATATTTTGGACGCATGCATTAATCATACATTTTCTCCCGTAATCTCAACATTTTCAAGATAATATTGCATTTGTTTCCAATCTCTAGATTTAAAAAAAAACAACCGTATTTACCTCCCCTATCTCTTTATTTTGGGGAATTGAATCATGTAATTGTCTTCTTACAGCTCTATATTTTAAGAAAAAATATGTTATATGTCTTCCTAAATCTCAAAATTTAAAAAAAAGTGTACTTATCCCCCCTCGTAAATTGGCATAGCATGAAAATTATATTTGAAAAAAAGGGAGAGTTAGCGACAACTGGACTGCATGTTGCAATTTGGAACAAAAATTCTAGCCCGATTTAAAAACAACGTATGTGCCATTAGTTTCCCTATGCACATAATTGTTTTTTCTAGAAGAGCCAGAATTTATAGTTCCAAATTGCAAAATGCAGTCCAACTCTTATTATGTAGGTGATTCTTTGCTTCTTATTGTTTTCAAAAATGGTTTTATCACTCGTCGAAGGAAGGAGCACACTGCCGTGATAAGGAAAAACGTTGTATGAAAATTCGAGAATTGCCACATTTCCTTCAATAAAATGTTCATTTTCAAGTAAATTTATGAATATCTTCCCTTGACATTTTCAGGACTTTTCGGTGAAAATGCTAGCAAAATTATCTGAAACATTGGAAGAAAAATATTTATAAGTTGACCAGGAAATTCGTGTTCTATCAAGGGAAATTTGGCAACGCCTATAGGTTCATACGGCGCTCTTCCTTAGTACGGCAGCACAGTATTGCCCCCTCCATTAACAAATTGGCACAAAATTATGGGTCAGTTGGTCATCTAATGAAATTTTCTTATCACGTCACGAGCGTACTCACATTTTATTCATTACAATTTTATCACGCCCTTTAATTTTTTTTTTCAATTTTATTTCGTTTGTCCCATTCAAACTCTCCCTCGATTCCTGGAATTTATCGTGTTCAACTAATATATGCTCTGCACACAGTAGCGGGAAAGTCCCGGGAGTCCAACCATGACCCCATAAATTTTTTTAAAGTTAGCCTATTTTGTATGGTCCCATCATTTTCAAGTTGCTGGAAATGCAGATTTTGATGACCATGACCCCATAAAATTTTGGAAAGTTAACCTATTTCGTTTGTACACATTTAAAGCTATTTGAAACGCAAATTATGATCACAGCTAACAATAAGTAGAACATTATACATGAAAGATGCGTATTGAAAGATACATATTTATCAACCTCTCAATCTCTCCAATGGTGTTTTTCCCCCGCTTTCACATACGCAGATATGCAATCATGGATATTAATGATTCTACTTTTTGAACTGCTAGACAGGATTGATTCTAGGGGTTGTAAGACCAGTAAGCTCACCGTGAATGATCGATTATCGATATTTCCTTACTTAAAGCTGTGGCAAACAATCGATTATTAAGGTGTTTGTTGCGATCATCGTGTTTATCGATCCTTTCCCATAGGTTTAAATGACTGATCAATCGATAGATCGCAAAGCATGCCGCGCCACTGAAGCTCACCTATACTGCTTCACACTCATGATCAGGTAGTAATCAGGTAGTTTCTTCCGACATGCTGAATGGTAATTCCTACCAAAGGACCGAATTCGTCGCCTTGTTGTAACGTTGCTCGGTAGAATGTACATTGTACATAGTTAAAAATACCACTATGCACGGCCAACGAAGGAAAAACTCGACGTCTTTAGAGCAATTGAACATATTTCTGCCAAACAGAACTATGTGCATTAAGGCATGATCCCTGAGATCCATAAGGATATATGCATAACAGGGCTCATGGCATAATGCACATAGTTCCGTTTGGCAGAAATACATCCAATTCACCCGAGGAGTCCACGAAGTATGAGATTGGATCGTGCTAAAAATAATAAATTATTTGAAAGAACCTAAATGCATGTGAAAATGGAAATATTTGGTTTCCCATTTGATTTCGTATCCATGATATTTACGCTCAATTTTCGCTTTTCTTGTATTTGCTTAGGACCTCTTACTGGGTGACGCAACCAAAGCTAGGGAGAAGTTCGGATGGAAACCCAGGGTCAACTTTCAGGTAAGAAACAATCTCAGTTTTTATGTGTGTCTCTAAGTTCTATGTTTAAGTTATTTTTTTACTCTATTTTCTTCGCTTTTCTCTTTTGCTGGAATTCGATTATTTATAATTTAAGGAAGAATTTCTACGGGAAACTCATCGGAGATCTGCAAACACACTCCGGTGCCGACATGAAAGGCAATCCCAGTTCGGCTGAGCTTTTCATGCTGAGCTTTTTTTTTAGCTGAGGATTTCATGAGAAATGTAGTGGATTAGTCACATCTTGCATCTGAAAGGTTGCAAACTTCATTTCCAGTGTTCACGTGTCCTTACAGATTGGATTTGGAAAGTAAAAAATGAATCGAAAATTCTAGAGAAGTTTTTTGTCCTTTTTGCCGAACAATTACCGGAGGAATGTGATTTTCTCACTTTATGAGCTCAACGAGAGCTCACGAGGACACTAATGAAGTAAATTACAAAATTCTGCAAACTGTGTTCTAATACTTTCGCGAGTTTGCTCAGAGCAGGCCAACTCTCAGTTTTTTAGGGACATCGCAGCTTTCGTGTATACATGAGAGCCCTTTTCTAGCGCTGTGTGGCGCTCTGCGACTTCTAACCGCCACAGCGGTTCGACTTTTGAGACCATGTTGGCCTGAAGTCATAGCCTGCAGATAATAATCGGCCCGCAGATCCCTATTATCCCATAGTCCCTAAGGAAGTTGGCACCCCCTCAGTTCTTGTAAAACCACCTGTCACCACCCTTTTTTTAGGTATCCTCCAACCTCATCCGAGGGAATCAGTCAAATACCTTTTTTGCGGCCTTTCACACTTCATCCATAGAGTACTCTGTACTCTGAGACTTCATCCTCCTGAGATGACTGTATAAAACCAGTCGCCCGATCATGGCGTAGATACGATGCTATATTCCCCAGTGTTCATACTTCCCCTCTAAGGGACCGTTCAAGTATTACGTAACGCACTTTTCCCGATTTTTACTCCCCCCCCCGCCCTTATAACGGAGCCCTGCACCCCACTTTAGAATTCCGTAACGCTGACCCGACCCATCCTCTAATTTTCAAAGGATTTCATTCGAGAAAGGAGGGCTTTTCAATTTTTTTTCACATTTTTTCCTTCGGCCGGAATTTGTTACCTACGTAACGCTGAGGTTGACCCCCCCTCCCCCCCTCGTAATGCACCCTAACGCTGGCGCAAACCCCCCTCCCCCCTAAGTACGTTATGTAATACTTGAACGATCTCTAAAGGCACTCGAGCAAATTCTAGTATACTGCCGTGCTAGGGAAGAACGCCGTATGAACATCCGAGTGTTGCCAAATGTCCTTGGATAAAACGTTCATATTTGAGGAAAATTTTGAATATTTTTCCTTGAAATTACCAGACTTTTTAGATCAAATTAAAAGCAAAATTATCCGAGAAATAGACCGAAAAACTTTCAAAAATTTCCCCGTAAACTAGTGATTTACCAGAGAAAATTTGGCAACGTCTGAAGGCTCATACGGCGTTCTTCCTTAGCACGGCAGTATAGTCAAGAAACGAGGGTGCGTCCAGGTCGAACACAGGTATTTTATGGATATTCGCTACCTGTTTTTTGACATGTTTGTCGATCGCGTAATCTGTGGCCATTGTTACGTTGGCTTTTGTCGGGGGGTCGCCCTGTGCTTGCATGAGCGCGCGAGAGCAAGGGGAGACGGGAGATCACACCATGATCGTCATCCCGGAGCATGAGAGGACGACATCGACGGCGGCGGCGATTAGATTAGACACGAGGCCCGGGCTCTTGTCTGCGGCGAAGAGAGCGAGCGGATGCCTCTTTAATGACTCTACTCGGGCCGGTAATGGGTGCCGAGCCGATAAACGGATCAAAGCCCAGAGTCAATACTCTAATTAAAGCTAAATTAAGATAATGGCGAGGTGTGAGGTGTCATATCGACGTGTCCCAATCGAATCCCAGACCGAGGACTCATGCTTGCTGCCGGTGTCATGCTCCGCGACTGTGCTCCAGAGACGAGCCTCTTCAGCGCCGCGCGCCGCGCGCCGCGCGCTCTTCCCGCGGCTGATGCCGAGCCGAATCGCGAATCTTGTCCTCTTCATCTCGTCGTGTTAGGCCCTGTCCACACGAGCGGGGTTCGAGGAACTTATTCGACGAACTGCTCAGTTCCCGGAACTTGTTTCTTGAAACGAGGCATGCTGTCCACACGAGTTCGTCCGAACGGGAACCGGAACTTCAATAAAACTATACAATTACTGCAAAATAATAGATTACTACGGCCGCCAAAGTAACAAAAATAAATGTCAAGACATGTAAAGGACGTAAAAAACATAAACAAACAAATTCACGTCAACAGAAACATATGTAGATGTAGAAGCTAGGAGTACGAGGGAAGTTCCGGGTTTGCGAGGAATAAGGTTTTAGCTCAGCTAAAACTTGTTCCGGGAACAAGTTCCTCGAACTAAGTTCCGCGAACCGCGCTCGTGTGGAAAAGGCCTTACAGGGTGTCCAAAAATCCGGAATTTCCGGAAAGTCCGGAAATTGTACTTATTATTTAAGGGCCCTCCGGAAGTAGTTGAAAGAGTAGCTGAGGTACCGGAAGTAGCTGAAGGAGTAGCTGAAGCATCGGAAGTACTAAGAAAGTGCAGAAATTCTGCAAGAAGGTCCGGAATTTTTTCATTTTTTTGTCATTTTTGTCGCAAATGAGCGTGGAATTCAAATTTGCGAAATTTTGCGAATTTCGTCAAATGGAGGTCTTGAAAAAGTACTGAATTTTCCCGTTGAAGAGGTACTGAATTTCTCGGGAATATACTGAAAAAACACTGAAAAAAGCACTGATTTCTGGCCGGGCTGTTTCAGTTGACAAACTGTGTTGGATCTGAATAATTGGGTCTCATGATCCTGGACTGGGACTCAATCGATACGAGTCTCTTCAATGGGGTTTTTCTATTTGGACTACGGACATTTGGACCGCGTTTAGCAGAAAGGAGCCAAGCCACATTAGCTACTGCCAAATTTAACAGGGCAATTTAATTTTTTACATGAGCAGGGCCGGATTAAGGGGGTGGCCACATGGGCCGCGGCCCATGGCGGCAAATTTTGCAATTTTTTTAAATGTAGCTTTAAAGAAAAATCGGATTCAGAAAAAAAATTACGAACGAGAAAAGGTGACAAAATCTCTCATTTCCTAAGAGTATACCTCTAATTTTGTTGTCCTTCTGTAATACAATAGACAGCACCTTTAATTAGTCGAGTTAAGAGTAAGAGAGAAACCGAACACTGAATTTGGCCTGGAACGGCGCGGCGCAGAGAGCAATGATGACGAGAACGTGAGATGAAAAGGAGAAACCCTCGGCGCGGCGGTCGGCATGTAACCCATATTAGCGCCTACAAGACTGCATGAATACTTCACGCATTGCGCCAAAGACAGTGCGGTCGCTGCGGTCAGCAGCGGGCAGCGTGAAACGCATAGCGCCTACAAGACTGCATGAATACTTCACGCATTGCGTCAAACACAGTGCGTGCAGCAGCGGTCGGCCCGAAACGCATAGCGCATGTAAGACTGTAGGAATACTTCGCTCGCATTGCGTCGAACACAGTGCGGTCAGCGCGGCGCGGCGGCGGAAGTTAAAATTATTAAACCACAATTATGTTTGTTCTTTCATAATTGTTTGGTATATATATATGAGTCGCTTTCACAGCACTCTTTGGCGCTTTACGACGCCTAATCGCCACAAAGCTCGGTCTTCCCACAGGTCATCAGGGAGTTGACACTCCCTCATCTCGTTTAACACCCTCTGTCGCCAACCTCTCACTGGGCGTCCCCTACGTCTCCTCCCAGGAGGAACCCAATCAAGCATCTTTTTTGGCAGCTTCTCTTCCGTCATCCTATTGACATGACATTACCAGACAAGTGTGTTGTTTGGTTCATCTCTTATAAATGGAGGGCCTTGTCCATACAGAGATAGGTTTACGGAACTTAACTTTCGCGGCAAGTGCCGTGAACTTTTGGTGGTAGTGTTGACAGGGCTTTCGCAAAAAATGTGACCAACACGAGTAAACGCGTCTTATACGCCTCTTTCCATCCGGGACGTCCACATGATGGTTTTTATTGATGTTTGAATTGTTGTATTGTTGTTTGATGAAAATTCACCGAAATTTGTACAAGAATCCGCTCAAACGTTTTCATGTTAAAGATTAAATTTCCCAGTTAAATTTGGCAATAGCTGATGTGAGGTAATTCTTTTCTGCGCCGAACGCGGTCCATCGGAAGAATAATAAAATTAGTGACATTTCCAGTTGAAGATGCCCAACGGTTTTCTAATAAAATTTCAATTAGCGATTCGAAATTTCGAAACGCTGGAATTTAATTGCATCCTTTTATTCAATGAATGGTTGCATATTATACAGTCCATAGTTCCGTCCTTATAGTTCCGTTTTTTCGTGGATTAAGGAATATGTTAGTTCCTGCGAAGCTTACACGAAGAGGTGAGATGAACGCACCGCCTGTGGCGTGGCAAAAACGTGGTCTCCTATTATCGGTCCCAAAGCGACAAGTACAAAAGTAAACACTCGAAACAGTAAAAATATCCATCCAAGCACTAGAAACCAAAATATTCAACAACACTTACTGATTCGCACTCCGGCTGTGTTCTCTTCCGTTCCTATTTCTGTCAACGCGAAGACAAAGTGGCCTGAAGACCCCTTGTCTATTTCCAACTTCGAGTGCGATCTAGAGGTATCTATTTAAGTGACAGAAAGTAGATGGGAACAAGTATAATCCAAAAAAAATCACCACTTTAGGTCGGTCGCATGAATTTGAGTGGTCTCGTTAAAATAAATGTCATAACAATTGGACCTACACGACTCGAAATCGAAAGAGTTCGAAACTTCGAGATGCCGTAGCCACAAATTAAACCGTTTGCTTCGGGGAGCGCCCAACTTGGTGGAAAATGAAATTTTTTTTTTATTGCAAAAAAGTGGTTTTTGACGTATCGCACATCCCTTTTGTCCATCCTTTTCTTCATTTGTTGTACTTTGAAAATATAGGTATAGGCTTGAATTTCTTTCGATGCGCATATTTTTAGCCACTGACTCTTTTTGTAAACTGAATAGTTTGTGCCAAAAAAAGGGGAGGGACGCCGAATTCCCTTGCATTCCTTACATCTATTTTAGAGATTCTCTCTTTTTTATCATCATCCTCTTCCTCTCATCTTTTTTTTCATCCCATTCTCCATAATCTTCTTCCTCTTTCGGGTTTTATTCTTTTCCTCCCACCTCTTCCTCCTTCTCTCTTTCTCCCTCATATTCTTCCTTTGTATCTGTTTCTTCGTCTCTTTCTTCTTCTCTCTCTTCCTTTTTTCCCTCTCTTCCTTGTATTTTTCTTCCTTTCATTCACTAGCCTGGAAAGGGGAAATGCGCCAAATTTGCTATCTGCGTTGGTGACAACCTACCCTCACGACAGTCCTGCACCTCCTACACCCTCTCTTAAATACCAACCCTTCCGCTCGAACAGTTGCCTACATTTGGGTATTTGGTGATAAATGATAAATTCGATAATTCTTATCATATACATCATCGATGCAGATAATCGAACGTTTTTCATTCTATTCAACAGGAGCTCGTGAAGGATATGGTCGAGGCCGACATCGAATTGATGAAACGGAATCCTACTGCGTGAGGAGCAGCAGTTCAAACTATATGCAACACTGTGATAGACGTACATTCTACTATTATACTTATCATTTCATCAGTTCTGCGTTCCAGTCGGGTAAATCTGTATCGATACTAAGTAAAATCGTAGGGATTCGTATTCACGGAAAATCTTAGTCAGTTATGCCAATGATAACTGCCGGTCCGTCGCATGATAAAACTTAAGCAAAACCAGTCGTAATTCACCTCTTAATCATAAGCTAACTTATTTCTCCAGTGACGAAGTTACGCTAAAATTGTACCGGAGGTCCTAAATTATGCAGATTTTTTCACCTCACATCAATGATTTAAGCTTGTCTATTGAAAATTAAGAAAAGCTCTGCTTGTGGAGTGTATAACAATTAATTACTGTATAAGTTTACGGTAACACGAATGTGTATCGCTTCAATCGTTAACTGAATTAACAAGGAGAGAATAAGGGAAAAACCTGACATAGCCGTGTCAGTAGCCTGTTGCAGGCAAAAATCGCAGCAAGTACAAACCAAAGCTCTCCCTTACATGTTTCCTCTTCAAAATTTTACGTGGAATACTATTCTTATACATGTTCAAGAATCCTCTCCTTAAGAATATGTATAAGTATCTATAATTAATGCAAGTTAACTGTCGACAATAAAAGTGAAGTCGTTTGTGTAAGTTTTATTTTATTCAATCAGAGTATCAGTACTTTACTCAAGAATTGATTCTTGAACTTCCAGTTATGCATTAATCACCTTCCATGTCAAATTTTTTTGAGAAAACATGGAACGTGGTACTTTAATTTATATTTCGTCTCGTCGTCTTTTGGAAGATTTTACGTGTAACAAAGTGGCGTGAAATATCCATGACTTTGAGGAAAATGCGGTTAAATATGTAAAATTACATAAAAAATCACGACAAAAACGAGCCTTGAACTCGAATGTCGAGGCAAAAAATAAGCTCCAAATTGCTCAAATTTTTCACAGTGTATACCCTGAGACAATATTTCCCTGAAAATGGCCACTATCTTAATTTTTTGAAGAATGTCGCCTAAATCATCATCCTTGATTCCTTTTAAGATTCAGTGAATCGACGCAGAAACAGATTCGCTTTCATATGGATCACAAACATAGTAAATCTTCCAAAAATTAATCACAGTGAACAGTTGGAGAACTTTACTTCTTGATGTACAACGTGTCCACCGCAACAATGCAGTGAGGCTGCAGTGAATTTTCCGAACAAGAGAAATTAAGTTTCACAACATAGTTGGAGCTAAGACTCATTAGATGAAAAAAAGTCGATGAATTTTCAATATTTTCCGTGTCGAGGGAAAAAAAGAAGACCGGCGTGTATTTTTTCTTTCTTATTAATTGTAACTGTCAAATCTTTCCCTCGCTGATCATTGCTGTTCGACGACTAAATGCTTTCAAGATGGGTTATTGGAATGCCTCTGCGATGTTGCATCTAATGTAATTTAATTCTCCAATCACTGCTCAGTATGTAATTTAGGTTAGATCAGTAGCCCGAACTTATATAAGGTGCTAATGCACATCACTATTATACGTCGCATTTAGTTCAATTTCTCTTCATGTATTTCGTTGTGCAATTTAGTTTTATAATGTTATCATAAATTTTATTATCTTGGGTAATTGCTTTATTAACTGTCCATTCTGTATCGAATGAGGAAAATCAAAGGCGCACATTGGGTCGAGTCAATGGGAGATGTGGGACGAAATTCGAAAAGTTTAAAAGCTCGTAACTCCATCTATTCAAACTTTGAGGTTTTGAAAGTGGTTCGATTGGTTTGCCTCGTGAAATTTCCCTTCAGAGGCACCCCTTGAACGTTAAAATTTGACGAATTAAACATCAAAATTTGCAGTTTTAGTTAAAAATTGCATGTCCAACCTCTCTAATTGACTCGAGCCACTGTGTGGCGGCGCGATTAAAAATGTCAGTAGAGAGGAGAAAAGGGAACAGAAAAAGTTGAAGGATCATCCCAAATCGTTGCTCAGTCGCCTTTATTCTGTAAAACGCTCAGGTTTTGAGCTTACCTTTTGAAGCTAATCATTTGTACCGTATAGATTTTACTATCTACTTTATTTTTTATTCAAATAATAGATTTTATTGACTTACGCATGAAATTGAATCATGAGATGCGTCGTCGCACAAATACAAAAAAAAACTGATTGCATTGTTTTTATCCGAGTGTATTTTTACAGTTTAAGTATTATTACAGGGTTCTCTGTTTCCTTTTAATTTTATTTCGTTTTTCAAGTATGATTTTACCGTTTTTACTTTTGTTTTGTGAATTATTTACATGAATAATTTCCATGTGTATTTTTAGAATGAGTATTATTATAGCAGAGCACCCTGTCTCTTCTAATTATCCGTTTATTACACTTTTTAGGAATATATGAATTTCATACACCAAGAATGAATTTTTTTAAAAATATTTTTCATTAATCATTGAATTTATTTTCTTTCACAAAAATACCTCCAGGAGGTATCTAAAATGAGTGTGTATGTGAAAGTGAGCTTTGCTTAATTGAGGTACAAGTACATGCATAAGTTGCAACTTGCCTGCGGGCCGATTGTTGAAATTGATGGACAAAGCTATAGACAATGGAGACTTAGGGAGTATGAACCGATCCTATTGGTTGAAATGGGTGGATCTTATCTACTAAGGGGGTAAAATGATGGACTAACTGTAGGGTCTCTCGTTGGTTGCCGTTAGTAAGTCTATTATTATCTACCTCCTTTGTCGATTGCAACCACCCACTTCCACCAATAGGATTCCTCCATATCCCCTTTGTTTTCTTTGTCTATAGCTTTGTCTATCAATTTCAGCAATCAGCCCACTGGTATAAAAAGTGACTCGTGAGTCAACGTTTTTATAAGAAAGTCTTTATTTTAAAAGAAAACAAAATTTAAGCAGCCCTATTGTAATCATCATAATATTCTTCTAAAGAAACTTCTTGTGTTTTTTTTGTAAAAATCAATTTTGTTGTACTGTGTTTTGCAGGTGGGAATATTTTAACATTTAAGAGCGGTAAATACAGTGTACCGTTTTAATTTGTGTTTTTCAGTTTCTGTTTGCATTTATGAAAAAAGGAAACAATACATTTTTTGTTTATTACGCAAGTGTGCTGTGTGCTTATTCTTTTTCAAAGCAATAGACCCCGAGGTAGGCTAAAAAATTAAGCACTGCCGGATTTATTTTCTTATCAAAATTCATCGTTAAACACGACGAACATATCGTAACTTTTCAAATAAACTCATAAGTAAGAAATTTGCGTTTATCGTTCCCATAAATTGATACTTTCCGCTTTCCAAAAACTTTAGCCAATCAAATTACGTACAAAAATTTCAGCAAGAACTTTGCTATGAAATCATATTTTCAGATGCTGAATTATCATTAATAAGTCCGCAGGCACGGAATAACAAAGGAGTAGAGAAGCTTGCTGTTAAGCCAAACTTTTTAGTTGCTTGCCAAAAGTACAAGTAGTTTTATGTAAACTAGGTGAACCTACATTGATCTAATCTCTTTACGAGCAAGCAGTGTAAATTGGCTTTTTTTAACTTAAGCTATACGCCCTAATATTTCACGAATACGTTGCAGTTTTCTTTTGGGTTTTTTTAAAAAAGCACTATAAGCTCTGCGTGAACTTTGTTACAAATCCGAAAAAACACCTTTTACCAAATCGGATGAGTATACTTTCACGCCAAATCAGTTCACCGAGAATTTTTAGTGTAGGTAACACAAGCTCCCACGTAACCAAATTGTGGTATCATCGTGAAATGGCAAACATCAACTCGAGACACACAAATAACAGCGTTTAAATGATACGAAAAGAGGTCACATCAACGTTATGTCAGTTCGCCTTCAATTTTCAGTGTAGGCAACACACGCTCCCACGTGGTCGAATAGTGGTATCACTCTATCATCCTCCGTAATTCAGATTGTCTCCATTGCCGGATTTGCTCTAGAAACAATAACTTTTGTTGGAATCGCGTTCGCTCATTCCAATTTTTTATTGGTGCGCTCCATGGTCGTATGAAGGTTGTTAAAATGTGACGAAATAAACTTAATTTTCAGTTTAAGTCAAAAATTTCATGTCCAACCTTTCTAATAGACTCGATCCCCTTGCGGGGCATGGCGGAAGTCCCTGAATCGCAGCTCAAATCGTCCATTTGACATAAATTCTTCCGCGCTTCGGCCAGTTTAATACCTAATATTTTTGAAACAAATTAAGTTCAAAAGAAGAGAAACTTATCCAAAATTTCCACCCAAATACCGCAGGTTGCAATTATTGCAATAACTTGGTGATATAATTGCTATACCACGTCGAAACGTTGCGTGCACTGTCTATCTATAGCAGTGGCGTGGCATGCTTTGCGATGTATCGATTGTTATGCCATTTAAACCTATGGTAAAGGATCGATAAACAGGGTGTTCGCAGCGAACACCTAATAATCGATTCTTTACCATAGTATTAAATGGCAGAACAATCAATACATCGCAATTCACGCCACGCCACTGATCTATCGATGGAAAGGGCTCTTCGTCGTGAAATTCATTGCAGTAGAAATTAATTAAGATTTAAAATTAAAGATAGTTAAATAAGATTTTTAATTAAGACCTTTTGTAATTTTTCTTTACATTGCAAATAATAGCCCGTCTTCCTAACACATGGAATTCCCTTTCCTGAGTTTTAAGAAATCGGCATATTTCTTGACCAAATAATACATAATAGTATTGAATTTTCATGGTAAAGAAAAATTGCAATTTCATGGCAGAAAAATGTAGAAATTGTATTGTATTTAAATGCAATTGTATTCAAATATTACCATTGCCTCGTGTTTTTTTATGTACGTATTTCTGTTGTACGCAAAATAATCACTCACGTGATTAGATTCAAGTCGAAAGTTCTGCGTGTGGAATGAGAACCAGCCCAGGTCTCAACAAATTTCTGTGTAAAAAAGGACACTTTTCCTTGTTTAAAAACATCACGCAAACTTTCAACCTTCACAACCACGCTTTTCTTTTTAGTAATGCAACTTTGAGGCTCGGCTATAGTAAAAAAGTCCCTGTACGTCTACCTGCATGAGGTAAATTCTACTGTCAATTTTTTTTGTTGTCAATAATGGTTGTTTGTTACTCGCGCGTCAAAAAGTCGTTTTTGTGCAAACGATGAGGTCGCTCACGAAGAAAAAAATATAATGAACCTTTATTTGACGTCTTTCACAATTTGTAAAACTATACCTAGTTCTCTCGACGTGGCGTTTTAAAGGTCACCTTTCAAAAGGCTGGAAAAGGTTTGAAAGATTGCCTACTTACAAAACGCTTCATTCCGAAAAATCGGCTTGCCAAAAGTTAATTGGCAAACTCAAGTGACGTCAATAGAATATTGGAAATGCTCAGTTCGGATTTTTCAAGTAATACTTTATAACCCTCATAAAAAGTCTGCTACTAAGAATGAAAATGAATTACTTTCATAAGAAGAATTCATTTGAAGGGGAGATGGGTACAAGTTAAGGATGAAGCGATGGGTGTCATGTCGCCTAAAATCGAAAATAATTTATTTTACCGAGCTCCTAGATTTTATATCTGTTGTTTTCCTTTTTACACTTCCTGGCTGAAATGTTGTCGCGGGTATCACACCTTTTACTTTTTAGTGATGCCATCCTCGGGAATGATTTCAAAAATAACAGAAAAACATGTAAAAATACTGACCTACTTTCTGCTAAATAGAAATCCATTTGCGCCCTACGCTAATAATAACTATTACGTACGATTGCTATTAACTTGTCACGCGCATCAGAAAATTTACAAAAACTACTCAGATGAAATGGAGCATCTAAAACTAAAATTATTAGTTTTCGGTCATTGACTCAAAGCCTGCTCGGCGGAATGAAAACTTGAAGTGTCCCTAAAGACATAGTTATATAAAGGGTGGGGGGGGGGGGGGGGGGGACATAGGTTTCTTCAAACAGTATATATGGACCATGTTTTGCTGCAAGAAACCACACTTCTGACTCGTGCATAAAATCACCCATTTGCACGCTGCACGGGGGTCTTTATGGCGCGCATGCCATTTTTAAAATCAGCCAGAATAATAGTACTTCCCCATTGCAAAATGTGGTCCATGTATCCAAAAGATATCGAAAGATGTGTAACTTTTCCACAAAGACTGTTCTGAATAACGGTCGACTGTGTACGAATTACAACGGTGAATTTAATATCGAAAATGGGATTTTCGTACTTATGGTACCCTTTTTCAGTTATATTTCCTCTGTAAAGGTCAATATATGGACCGCGTTAAGCAGAAAGGAACCAAGCCACATCGGCTATTGCCAAACTTAATTGGGTAATTTACTTTTTTACACGAAAACGGTTGTGCGGATTCTTCTGCAAATTTCAGTGAATGTTCGGCATGGGACGAAGCAAATTCCTCAACATTTTCCCAGGAATCCGCTCAAACTCGTTCTCTTTTAAATAAATTAAGTTGCCCAGTTAAATTTGGCAATAGCTGATGTGACTTGGTTCCTTTCTGTTGAACGCGGTCCATAAAACCTCTACGTAATTATTATAGAATGAGAGGTATGACTAATTGGTGTGTATTATTATTCTATTGGTTTCTCTTACTATTTGGCGGTGAGAGGTAACATTTTCCTTTTTTGTTATGTATTTACATCTTTCTTTCAGGATATCCGTTTCTAAAAAAGTTTCGTGGCAAATCTTTTACAACGGAACTGTAGAAACATTCAAGTATCTACGAGTTAAAAATTTTTAACGTATTAATTTTATTTTCCATCTCATAGTGATTTACCGAAAACGGGTACTTTTAATAAAAAACAAACCAAAGAAAAAATCGTATTTTTGTTGTATGTGTCTGTTATATAAAAGTATTTTTATAACCGTCGTCTTTTTTCTATTTATTTGTTTTCCTAAAAAAGGAAACCAAAACTTTCCTCTTACACGTCATAATGAGCTAATGGTTTTCAGTCATCGCCTTAGAATAGGAATAAATTATTCGCCTGACACATATTCAAACCATGGAAGAAACGCAGCATTTTCCTGTTAAAGTCAGCAAACTGTTAGCGAGTGTAATTTCGGCAACGGCTGCCTGCAGGCTGTGGGTTTTAAGTAAACAAACTTACTTCGGTTGCATTTCTGTCCTC